CTTCAAGTAAACAAGCTGATACAAAACTCACACATCAGTGTATAATATAAAGTGTACATATTGACACATGAAGTATGTGTACTGGTAACATAGGGAAACAGAGTAAAGATCAAGTCGATATAAATACCACAATCCGTATATTCTCGAGTTTATCTTATGATGCATGTAGTACGCATATGCATCGATGTTTGTTTGCGCACTGAAATATTCAACGAAACGGAGTGTACACTAGAGTTGGTAGGTAAACTGTTTCAGGCAGTTTGGGTTGGATTGTTAATAGGCACGCGTACCCTAAATGGTTGCACCGCGACTTACCTTTGCTACTTGGGCTAGGGAAAATGGCGCGTACATCGAACCATTGTAAGAAACAATGTACGCTCAGAAGAGAACATGTCGAAGATACAATCACCGATTTTGACGAAACTTTGGTATATGGTAGTTCTCAAAAAAATATTCAACGTGTATGTTTTTTTTATAGAGGCTAACATATACAGTGAGCGGGTGAAAATCGCCCTCAATGTTGGAGTTAGTGAACGTACTTGGTCTAGTATCTCGGAAACTTGTATTAGAGAATAGTGTAAATTGACAACAAATTTGAAAAATAACAAATAATTTTGACCAAATGTGTTTGTTACCCTTATCTTTCAGGGCGATTTGCACCCCTTTGGTGTAAAGAATTGTTGATGTGTCAAGTATTTTTTTTTTTTTTTTTTTGAGTACTATCATAAAGCAAAGTTTCAATATCGGTGATTATCACTTGGAGATGTTCCCTTGTCAGTCGAAAAAGGTCTCCGTACACCTCGCTGGAATTTATCTTGCGTTGTATAATTTTAACAATGAAAGTAGTAAATAAATAATGTTTACGTTATTTTCTTTATGAACGTAACATTTACTATGACAACAGTTAACAGAAACTTGCACAACACAGATCATTTTTCTTTTAACACGTGTTGCAGAGAGTACATTTCTAAGCAACACGCGCTTTGAATTTTGCGGCGGTTTCTTTGATTCTTCTTGAGATATGCGAATTTGTAAACTGCACTTATTTCGAAATTCGTAACGAAACTAAACAGTAATCTTGAAGTGTACGGACAGTGAACATGGAATGGAATACGTATTGAGCAGATGTGAACATGAAACAAATAATGATTTGTGAAATAAAATATATTGTCTTCAAAAATTTTACACATTTTTGATAATGATTTGTAAAATAAAAATATATTGTTGGAAAAATTATGCATATTTTCGTGACCTAACCTTAGATTTGAATACGACCCAAAGCCAAACCCTACCTCTAACCTAATTCTGATTTTATGTAAATGGAAATTGGGTTTGGATTAGGATTGGTTAGATTGAAATTTCTTCGCAATTTCAACGCATTTACTTGATTGCAAAAATCTTGTAAATATATATGTCAGAGTTAAGGTCATAGAGACTAAATTTCTTTTTCTAAGAATATTATTTTCATAATATTTCAAGATCAGATATCTCGAGAACCAAAAGAGACCGCCGCGAAATTCAAAGGGTGTACTACTTAGGAATGTACCCTTTACAGCGTATGTATATCAAAAGAAAACTGATCCGTGCTGTGTAAGTTTCTATCAACTTTTACCAAAAATACAGAAACAGATGATTTATATTATGGAAAAGATACTTTGTGTAACGTTTTTCTACTTGCTTGCAAACAACAAACTAACTTGAATTTGCCTTTGGAGCAGTGTTTGTAGACATTTTGCTGAATTCTTAGTTACACCTCGTTTCTGTTACGTTATTCTTTTTCCTCAATTTAATTGTTAACAAACGATTTGTACTAATAGTAAATGTTATGTTTCTAAATAAAATAGTGTAAATATTATTTATTTACTACTCTCTCGGTTGAAATTGTACAACGCTAAATAAATTCTAACGAGGTGCACGGAGACGTTTTTGACTGACAATGAGTGTATTTATTAATGCGTACATGGTTTTCTTATACATAGGGGGAGTTTAAGGTTTTTCTTAAATAAATCTCTCTGTACACGCGACTGAAACGCTTAGAAAACTTATTTTCATTCCTTTTGTCTCCTCTAGGAGATACGCAGAATAACGGCTCGGTAGCGTTTCAATTATTGCAGATATAACTAATGTCTGATATTAGGTGCCGTCTGGCGTTAAGGGGGTCTTCTAGTGTGACGGCCGTTTTTAGGCCTTTTTTGCTAATTTATTACAGAAGTACGGTAACAGTTATTAACATGAGAACAGGAGCATGAAAAAAAGAAGTAGGTCCATGGTTGCCATGATTTGAGCTGTTCTGCTTATCGAAAATAAAAAAATGGCTGCTGTGGAACACGTCAAACAGGAGCATGAAAAAAAAAGTAGGTCCATGGTTGCCATGATTTAAGCTGTTCTGCTTATCGAAAATAAAAAAATCCAATTGATTCTTATTTAGTATGCATGTCGCTATGGCCGGTAGTAGAATGAAGGAAAAATATTGAAAATGAAAAAAATGGCGGCACTTTGAATACGAAGTATCGACTTTTTTTCGTCTTTCAGAGGCTCTAAAAATCAGAAAAATATATAGTTTGGTATAATTCTACTACCTACCATAGCCACACATGTTCTCAAGACATGTGCAAAATTTGAGCTCGATTGGTTCAGTAGCTTTTGCCAGTGGCAAACGTTTCAGAAAACATGGTGCAATTTAGGTTCTCCCTTGATGTGTCACACTAAACGAGCTATAACTTCGTTATTTTATTGAATACAACTATAAAACTTGAGAAGTACACTCTTAAAGAGTTGTACTTTCGATATATGCAAAAAAATAAAAATCGATTTTTTGAAAGACCCCCTTAAGAGAACTCCCCTTGTATGTCGCAGTAAGTTACATGAACATATTGAATTATTTCTTACTTCTCTCCTGTCTGAATATCAGGGACAAAGGAATTCTGTGTACGAATGAATACTAAAAAGGAATAAAATTACGATAAACAATTTATTCTTCCTTTAACTTTTTTAAAGTTCTAAAGTAAACAGTTTACAAAAATGAATTATTATTAAGTATAAGAAAATGCTAAAATACCACTAAAATGTGATATAAAACAGGGTGTCCAAAAAATTAGTCCCATATTTTATTTTTAAATAACTTCTAAGGAAAACGATAGAGTGTCAATCTTTTTATGTACGTTAATTATTGAAGTTAAACACGAAAAACGATATCCTCCAGATGGCCGCATCTATTCGCGATACAAATTCCAGCTCTTTGGAATGCATTTTGCATGACACTTCTGAAGGTATCCGCGGTAATGCTGTTAATTTCATGGCAAATGTTCCCTTTAAGTTGCCGAATTGTTGTTCGTTTCAAAGAAAGAAATCGGAGCTGCCAAGATCTGGGCGGCCAATAGGTGATAACATTTGGAATTCAAACAGTCTGAAAACATGCCTTCCGAAAGTTGTACCGTATCACATGTCGTATTGTTCGAACTACTACTTCCAACTCACCCGATAAGAATTTTTGCAACGTACATCGTTAAAATATTGCATAAAACAGTGCTTGGAAGACTCAGTTCCCGAGCACCGAAGCACTAATCAACACTGTCACGCACACTTTGAATACATTCCGCCGAGTTCGAGGACGGTCAGAATGTGGTCCAGTTGCTAGAGTACCAAACTCCCAAAAATTCCAGGTCACATGTTTAATTGTTCTGTGATCAGGCCCGCGATGTCGCGAAATTTTCTTGTGTACAACATTAGCGAGCACTGACTTGCAATATAAGTTTCTACGATAAACACAGGTCCTTGAATAATAAGTCTCCCATGTGTCTACTCTACAACTGTCAAATACCATCTGACAACGTTGTGTCATACCGAACTGACAGCCGATTAAAGTACGGTACTAATTTTTGGTACACCCTGTATAATTAAAACCATTTAGTGAGATGCTATGTTTCATTACCGATGTTTCGAGATTTATATTTTTACTGTACGTAAATTTATTACACTGTACGAGCGCGTATTGTTTCCTCAAATATATTTTTCAGTAGGTTTTCGGGAAACATTTTCAGTTTCACATACAATAAACAAAACTTGCTTTCTTCCTGTCATAAATATTACGTTCTGTAGCACATTTTATTTGCGTTAAAAATTCCTTTAACCTTATTCTGTAATTATAAATTGCTCAGTTACACGGTACTTTGTACCGTTTTATTCGTAACAATTTCTGTAAATGGACTTGTTAAACTTTATGATCGAAATAAGAGCCCTTCTATAATATTTGAAACGTTTACATTGACAACATTTCGAACGAGGACTAAACGGAAACACTCAGAGTGTATTCGTTGGGAAAATGGAACGTCGATATGTAAGAAATATTAAGTGTCTTTCGTTGATTATTACAATTTGCTACATTTGTCAAATCTAACCAAAATACTGTGAAGTGCCGCGGTGTATCCATCTTACATTCACTCGTGAATCTTCGAAAATAGCTGAAACGTTTACCGTGCGGAATAGTTTTGTCGGCACACGTGATTGCTCAGTACTTGAAAAGTCACAAGCGCGCCAAAAGCCAGTGGCTTGGCTATCAATAAATGCGACAAGAAGTGTAAATTCCGGGGATTTCTGCAACAGCGATAGCTTGCTGCCGATGATCAGTCTGCGATGCGGTGTTCAAAGCACGTGCGTTATTTGTTCCGTTTCTGCACCGAAACCACCGAAAATTATCAAAAGCTCCGCGTGCACGCGCGTCCGAGACGGATTTTTACCGCGAGTTCTTTTTTTCCGAATTTCACGCAACGGTCACACGTGTCGAAGTTAGCTCCGCGCGTGAAACCGTGCATTCTGTTCTAAACTCACTCTCTGCTCCGCCAAGGCAGCGTTGAAACACATGCAAGAACAAAGAAAAAAAAAAAAAAAGTAAATGAAAAGAAAAATTACAAAAAAAAAAAAGACGGCTTGGTGTCGAATCGGAAGTACAAAGTAAGCTCGACCGCCGCAGCGCCCAGAACCACTAATGTGCTCGCTCGCAGCGCGGACGGCAACTTCGAGGTGACCTTGGCCACGAAGGCCACCATCTACCATCAAGGATTGGTCGAGTGGAAGCCCCCTGCCATTTATAAGTCATCCTGTGAAATCGACGTGGAGTACTTCCCATTCGACGAGCAGACCTGCGTCCTCAAGTTCGGTTCGTGGACCTATGACGGCTTCAAGGTAAACTTGCATGGTAGCCGCTAAGTTCGTGGCAGATAGACCGGCGGATCTTCCGCGACGTGGATCGAGCGCTCGTGATGCGTCGGGGACGGTCCCCTTGTAGCCCTTAAGACTAGATTAGACCCGAACGATCGGCTCGTCGCGTGGATTTCCAAACTCCGCGGTGGATTTCTCTTTGTTGGAGCTTATTCTGTTTCGAAATGTCGCTCTCGATGGGAGAGAGTCGAAACCCACGCTAGGAGACGGATGCTGCCAGCTTTTCTCCATCGTTTTTTGTGAAACGTAGCTACGACGGTGCGATTATGTTAGAAGGATGAGAAGCATGAGAACGAGTATCATTCGTAGCGTGGTGAATTGAGAAGAAATTACAAGAGGCAAGGTACGCAGTAACACGGCGGCAAGCCAAGGGAAACGTTTGAAAGAACGAAAATTGAGTAGCGAGAGGACGCGAAACGACGCGATCCGACCGATCGGTGGAGGCTTTTCGGTTTCCTTACAAAGGGTGAGACATAGAGTGGGAGTGGAGGAAGCAGAGGGCGCGAGAGAAAGAGAGAGAGAGAGTGTGAGAGTGTGAGAGAGAGATAGTGAGAGAGAAAGAGAGAGCGAGAGTAAGCGTGGCGTAGCGGCAGCATCCGGTGCTCTTCAAAGAGGAGCCAATCGTGATCACGCTCGGCTCGTTTCTTCGGTGATTCCAGCGCCGACGGGAACTACGAGGTGACGCTGATGACCAAGGCCACGGTCTACTATTCGGGATCGGTCGTCTGGCAACCGCCGGCCGTATATAAATCCTCCTGCTCCATCGACGTTGAGTTCTTTCCGTACGACGTACAGACCTGTGTTTTGAAGTTAGGCTCCTGGACCTATGACGGTTTTAAGGTGCCACGCAATAGCAACGAGCACGATCGCCAAATTGAACTTTTTTGCTCGTCATATATGATCGGTCTTCCCAATTTTCTCCTTGGTTATACTTTCGTTTTTTGTGTTCCATCAGAGAATGCCACCTTGATACCCGTAATCGTTTCTGCGATGCGCTGGTCTTGGACGTCATACGTCATATATTGTATATACACAGGGTGTCCCGTTTTAATCTTTACACTCGATTATCACCCGAATTATTCGTTAGTCGAGAAAAATCTTTCGAATAGAGCTCTGTTTCGAGTAGGACATCATATTAGAACGAACACAGTTTTATTCTACGTAAAGGCGCCTTCAAGATTTCAAGATGACTTTTGTTTGTTTGTTTTTTTCAAACGAAACTATGTACACTTTTAGCTAGGTGTTTAACGAATTCATACCGATATCCGTGAAGTTTCAATTATTTCATCAGCCACTGGGATATTTCCCATTTTTTGTAGGCCACACATCGCATAAAGCAATATTTAACGAATAGATTTGTTTAATTTGCACGAGGTTTTTAAACCCATATCAATGAGATTATTTGCTATCATTCAATTTAAGAAAAATAATTTCACTACTTTCAACACGAAGGTGATCATGCCTGCTCTCGAGGGTGTAGAACTTCTGGTATCAGGGACAGAATTAATTAGTGTATCGGTACCAAAGATCACCTTCTCGAATACATTAAATTAAAAATATTTTCTGGCCGTTCACTGAAGGTACACCTCGAATGATCTGAAGTAACCTTAACCCTGGTGTGCCCAAACAAAAGTTTTGTACGTAAATTTTTATTTCGGAAACGTACATCGACGTAAAAGTGTCGAAAAAATGGGATCTGGAGCGGTTTTACGGTACTTTCCCAAGAACACAAAAGAAATGTTTAAGGAAATATAGGAATGGCTACCGGAGTACCCGGTTGGACACGCAAGGGTTAAGCGACCTTGGAAGACTAGCGTGTCGCAAGTCGATGAATTTTTCTCAAAGTAGACTATACGTCTGTCTAAAAGAAAGTACGTAGTCCGTTTGAAAAAACAAAGTTTGCATTGAAATCTCAGAGGTGTTTCCGTCTTGAACAAAATTGTGCCGATTGTAAGATGTCCCTCTCGAAGCAGGGTAAGTTCTATTTGAGAGACATTTCTTCGAACAACGAACAGCCTGGGACGCAATCACGTGTACAGATTAAAGTCGAACACCCTGTATATGTATGTATATATATATAATATATACATATATATTCAATATTGTTACTTGGTGTGGACTGCAGTGTTATTTGATTGACATTCGTCGTGATGTCGTACGGTCAGCTCGTTTTTATATATTATTCTGCGGTGTGCTCGAACGATCCTACAGGCTCGCATATTTGAACGCGTTCTTTGAAGACGGCTCGCGTCGTCGTTTTTGCGAGGATCCGGATCATTATGCGAAATTTGTACGGTTTCTGTTTGATTATTTAGCCATACGTGGCTTTACAGAATCGCCCCACAGAGATTTACCATTTGAAACGTATTTCCTCCCTTGTGTATACCATTCTTTTTTCTTTTTCCACCGGCAATATTAGTCAGATCCTCGCTTCAACGAACGACTTGAAAGAGCGATACGTCGAAGGTTTCAAAGGATACCTCGATCGCAAACTGTGAATCGAGGTGAAAAGAATCTACTTCGAAGCGTATCCAAGTTGGTTAGTCGCCTTGCTCTTTGACATTTGCAGCTCGATGGAAAGATTAAACATGTAATTGCGGGGCTTGATTGTTTATTACCGTAACTGTTACAAGACTTAGGGCGTCACTGTACACGACACTCGCGGGAAGAATGTAAAGTTTTTGTTGAAAATTTTGCCGCGCAACACACCAGACACGTAGTATTTAAAAGTATTTCGACATGCTCGGTTGTGTAAAGACATTAACGGATTGTTCAAAAAGTTTTCATTCCTGGGAATAAAGTAGGAGGGACATTTTCGAGCTTATCGTAAACGTTTATCTTTTCGTTGAATCTCGTTTAAGCGTTCAGTGCGTCATTTTTCCAACGATAAAAGGTACCTGAACTTAACCGTTGAACGTTGCAATTGAAAGATTAATTTAAATCTATTTATGCGCCGCGTGCAGTTTTCATTCGCGCATTTACCATTCAAATTTTGATAAAATTGACGTTATCGTGTTAGATAAGAATTTGTGTCGGGCAATAATCGTGATACAGTAAAAGTGTGTAAATAAAATCCTCTTTTCTTGAATAATTCATAATGTAAATTACTTTTGTATTCTTTACGTGATATACTACGTATAAAAAGCTTTTTGAATAATCAGTTTTTATTAAAATTGCATATTTCACAGCACCATCGTTTTTCATAAGAAAAAAAAAAAAGAATTAAGTGGTGTAAATAAGGTTTTTGCTTTCTAATTAGGAGCTCATACTTCTTCCATTCTACATTCATCAGCCTGAAACTTAACTTCACTGTTTAGGGACATAGTACTCGATATTTCGAAAGCCAGATGACAAACGAATATTTCAATCACATAGTTCAGAGATCAAGTAAAATTTCAAAAGTTTACCTTGCATTCTGTAATGAACACAATTTAACTACAGTGACTATCATCTAAGTTTCTCATAAAAAGATTGAATTACCTAAGGTGTACGATTTTTCAGAGAAATGGTACATAAGAAAGGTACTTACGAAAAGGTACATGTTTCATCGCAGTAATCATTGTTTAAATATTGCACAATGAAACACACGTTTCCTTGGTGAATTTTCATTTTGTCGTTGAGATACGAAAAGGAACGCTACGAAGTTCGATGTTCTTTTCATTCGCTACCCCTGTACCTCTCTCTCACACACACACACACGCACACATATACATATACATTTATGCATACATCGCATGAAAGTGACCGAGCATGTTTCATGGAAGCATCGCTTATAAGCTGACTGTGTAGCGAACCGAGGAATTGAATGTAAAAGAAAAAAAAACAATAGCCACCACGGAAATGAGTTCTATAAATTTCAAACAGTCCGGCGTTTGTCACTACTGCTCCCGTTCGTTCTATTCCGGTGTTACCGGGTAAAAATTTTCACCAGAACTTCCGTACCGTGCTATTTCTTTCAGCGTTCCCTTCGCCCTTGTAAAATCGTGGAAAGACACAGGAAAGTGTTGCGCACCCTTTGATCGAAACTCCGCCGTTCCGAAATTCGCAACAAAGCATTACTCCCTGGAAGTCTCTCCAGAGCTTATCAAGCCATCAAGGTCGTGAAGATAGCGGAAGCGTAATTAGGCCGTTATTACGGGGCCGCTTTAACTCTGTGCACGCGTAAACCGTGGGGTAAAAGCGACGTCAGCGGCGCGGCATCGCCGACAAGGAAAATTTGCATTTCGTCAACTTTCAGCCGTGCTCGTGAAAAATCATATTTTCCCTTCTTCCATTTCGCTAGTATCATCTCTTGCCGTGAAAGAGTTAAGGGGCCTGAATAAAGCAATCTTCCTGATAAAACTGCAAGGAATGTTCAACGGCGAAATGTGCTCCCCTCTACTCGGCATCTGGCCATTCGGAAGAATGGCGGTACCATTTGTTACATGGAAAATGTAACCGGCCGTAGACGCGACTATTTCTTGAAAATTTATCGGACTGCGATTACGAATTGCCCGGTGAAACTCGGTATCTCTGCGGCGTAATTATGAAATGCCGAGAGCACAGGTACCGTTGGTATATATTCAGAAACGAGCGTGAATGCAACAATTCGATAAAAATGCGTGACATTGTACGGATTGCATGTAACTATGATATTCGTGAAATGAAATGGTAACGCGAGAATTTTACGAGGACCAAATTTACAGTCATTTTTTCCAATGAATGCAGTTGCTCTGTTTTATTTCATTTGATCTATGGTAGTGTAGGAGTTTATAAAATTAGAAGAACAATGCCTATGTGAATTAGAATTTCTGACTTATCGTTAGAGTTTATAGATTACAGCTTTGTAGGTTTTCAAGTTCATTTGGGTTATCCTTGAATACTCCACCAGTTCTTAATTAACGACTGAGAATAATCGCTTATTGTTGTCATATTTGTGATAAGAAGTCTATTGAACAATAAGTTTCACCGATTTCCTCGAAGTTTTAACTGTTGTAATGTAAGAAATT